AAAGAATTGTAACGATTGGCTCAATAAATTTTCTGAAGTCGACTCAGTCCTATTACTTTCCGGACAAACCCTGTATGTGTGGGGCCCGTGTAAGCTTGGGGGCTCACGTCATTGATACGGCGGTAGCTACTACTATGGCCTGCAAGCGCCTTTAAGGCTTTGGTAATTGGCCCCATGTAATTTCATCGCAGTATTTTGCTCAGGTTACCAGTATACCCATAATCTCATCACTATTCGAAAGCCGTGATTACATCACGGTTTTAAATCACTGATATCAAGAACAACGATATCGGGCATCTCCAAGTTTATCCCCCTAAAGTTGTTTATTTTTTGTTCCGCCCCTGTCCACACCTGAGCTGCTCCGGAGGATTACTCGGGTTTCAAAGCTGTTCCAGCTATTAGAGAAAAGTGGCTTATTGATCTGAACACCGGGACGCACTTTCACAACATCGGGCTTTCTTTTAAATATCGCCAAAGTTTCGAGTTTTTGCTCCGGGCGGACGTGTTCAGCCGAATAATCTCTTTTCATCCTACATAAAGGATTTATGTTAACGGCTTTCGTCCGCACTTTCCATGAATTTAATGTAACTTTTTGAACTTGTTCCAAGCTTGCCCCCTGATTCGACATGCTTCACTTGGTAGATAAATTAAATTACATTTTACAATCGATCAATTATTTATATACAATGACAAAGAAATAAGGTTACCGAGAAATGTTATTTTAAATGAATAAAATTTTGTATACAGAGAGACATGAGCAAGAGGAAGTAGAGATTAAATTTTGAATTGATAATCTTTGCTCTATGGCTGGATTTCCATAATAATGTAGCATACCAAGATTATCAATTTGCAAATTAGTTGAAAATAATTCTTCATGCCGCCTACCCCTGCAAAATTCATTGTGTCCATAAAATCGAAATAAACATAAACAATAAAGACAGAACAAACACTCAACATCTTCAAACCACCCAGGGAAGAGATAAACCATAAACAGCTATGTCTAGTAGAATTTTTCCCCTAACTGATATGAATAGGTGTGCCAGACTGGATACGGTTCGGTCAACGCACAGATGTGGTCTGGAAATTATCATTAGAGAGGAGTAGGTGAAACTAACGAAAGACGACGTAGTCCAGATGAAGCTAACATTTGCTAAAACGCATTCAAATTTCGGAAGAAAGTGACCGTTAGATTTACCTAAATGCTATGTAAATGTTTATAACTATTGTGAATTGTGGCCTCAGTGTTTCAGGAATTCCCTGCCCATACAAGATATTAGAAAGTACAGGATCTGCCCCGAGCAAGTAGAGTCACTAGACGACACTGTATTGCATAAACTTAAGGGAGGACATAGATCGTATTAGCAAACATTGTTTAAGGCCATTTGAGTTCAAAATTCTAACAACCATTGGTCAAATTAGTTTCCATCGTTAGAGAATCCGACGTCCATTGCAAGGGTTGCAAATTGACCGACCAATGAGGAACCAAGGGTTGAACTCACTAAGTAAGAACAAACCAGCCTTCTGATGGAGGAAAAAATCCGCAACTGACCTCCGATAAATTTCAAACTAAAAACTTCAGTTCTTCTGTCTTTGATTTGTATGTTTGGAAAAGTTGCTTCGATTTTCTCTCAGTTAGTAGTTGTTAATAAGTGTTTGTGTTGGTGAATTTGTATCAACTTTAGCACTTTCGGTTATTCCAAAAGGTTTTTTCCTTCTTGTCGAATTTAATATAATGCTGATTAACGCAGAATTCTGCATATTATAATCTTAATTATCATCGTTTAAGTTTGGGTTCTTGTTATCATTATTTTACTATTAAAATTCAAACTTAAAAATTAATTGTTGCCATTCCCTTTAACTTTAATCGTAAATCACTCTGTCACTGACCTTTCCAGCCTAGTAGTTTTACAAAGTTAACTTTTCATTTGTTATCATTACTTCAGTAAAAAAAAATTCTCCTCTAACTGGACTTTCATTAAATTCATTAACTGAAGCTGAGTTCGACGGTTCCGAAAGTATTCATTCGGGCGTTTACCACGTTCTCTTGATTACTTGAAGAACAGCAGAGGCAATATTCCGCACAAAATGGGTGTTTCAAGTCTATCACATTATGTCAGGTTCTACGTGAGTCTACCTCCTATAGGAAGACCAGTAGAAGGTAACAGAATTTGAAAATAGAGTAGTCTCTCAATCCTGAAATTGAATTATTGGACTGGGGATTTGAACTTATGAAGTCAAGGCACGATGTTGAGAGGTCCGGGAGCCTCAGACGAAGTTTCTGTTACAATAATATGTTGGGCCTATTTGTCTAGGCATATTTAGGTTTAGGCATCTCATCCCAGGCAAGTCATGTAATGACATATATGTACATACAGCTACAGCGTCATCTATCAGCCACAAACCTTTTCAAAGTAGATTTCTAATTATTGTGCACACAGCTTTGACAAATTCTCAGATGACGCTACGGTATCTCGTTTCAACTCGGATAATTTTTCCGACGCGCAAATATAGTATTAGGTTGAGTATCGTCAGGTATAATACGTTAATCAAATCTAAACGTTTTAAGTCATGATATCCATAAATTTTGTGCTTAAAGTAGTGTCTACTCCACATCGATACCTTCAAATTCGTAAGTGTTAAATTTACCACATAAACGATTTTTAAACATGTATGGAAGGACAGCGGTATTTGTCTGACGTCACCGTTTAACCTTGTTAGTGTACACAAAGCTCAGATTAGGCCTGGCTTAAAGTTATGCTTCCATATACTTGATATTTAGAAGATGGTAATCCAACTAATCAGTTGACAGGCTAATTTATCATGAGGCATTTCATGGCCATGCACTTCCTACCTGCCGATATACTAAATTGGTCCTCTAAGCCTTCCTACTAGGACGCTTCTGCTTTAAAGTACGAGTATTTCTGGGAAAGATGTTTCTGGTGTATATTTTAGCGAATAGCATAGTCTAAGAAATATAAACAATTTTGAAGCATGCGATAAGTCTCGTTTTTGTGAAACATAGATTATAATAACGGAACGTTGACAATACTCTGCGTAGTATTGCCGATATGAGTAGAATCATCTCGAACAAGGTCAATGTAAATTCTTCAGAATTATCTAAAGGGTTGGCTATCCGTTGGTTTCTTTTTTAAATTGGTATTAAAATTACACTATTCAATAAAATCTTACACTCGATACTTTATTCAAAAGAATACACCTTCCGATTATTTATGAAAAAGAATTTCAGTTAAATGGCTGCCTCGGCTGCCATCCTCTTAACCCAATTTTGAAGCACATTTTCGAAAGTTTGTGGGTCATCAATAGCTCGACGGATATTTTCCTTGAGAACATCAATAATTGTTTGAGGATCGTTAGTATAAAAGCGGTCCTTAACAGTACCCCATAGGAAGTGATCTATGAGCGTCAAATCACAGCTGCGGGCCGGCCAATGAACGTCTCGAAAACGGCTGATAAAGCAATGACCGAACTTAGTGTGTAAAAGATCGATTGTTTCACGGCTGGTGTGGCATGTTGCGCCAACCTGCTGGAACCAGAGATTGTGCAAGTGCATCTGGTCTCTATAGCGTTCTTCGTTTACTGTCACGCTGGTAACATCTTCATCTTGAAAAAAGTAGGGACCAATAATCCCACCACTCCAGAAGCCACACCAAACAGTTACTATTTTTGGTTGCATTGGTTTTTCTATGACGATATGTGAATTTTCAGAACCCTAAATCCTACAGTTCTGCTTGTTAACGTAACCTCCCAGATGGAAATGGGCTTCGTCCGAAAAGATGATTTGATTTCAAGCCCACACAGAGAAACGATATCAATGCGGATGGTCGTTTTGTTTCAACTCTTGCACAAGTTTGTTGCGCTCTATGACGAGTTAACATTCTTGCGTTTTCACGCACACTCGGGTCAACAGCAGCAATGTCTTCGGCTGTACGTACGAGTCGAACACGCTTAAACCTTCTATTATCCACAAGCAGGTCAGTGTAACGAACCTTCTTAACGAATTTTCGTATACCAGTCGTAGCTTCATTCCGACCAAATAGTCTTCTCAGTTTACGCAAAGTTTCTGCAACAAAGCTATCTGAAAATAGATTTTCAATATTTCCCACCTTTGTTCAAGATTAAGCCGATCCATTGCTCACAGCGGAAAATTGACACAATATATCTGTCAATATGTTGAGCATGGAAGTGTTACCATCTGTCAAAATAATACCTACTTGAAGAAAAACCAACTGATGGCTCACCCTTTATACATTGTCAGCTAGGATTGATAGAAAAATTTTCTGAACTGTGACTAAGCGCCGCTGTTTTATTTTGTATACGACTCAGTAAAGGTCCTGAAAAGCAATATGTGATGAGGACCTGGGAATAGAAAATCGGTCTCTCTTTTGGCCTCTAATAATGAACATCAAAATCCAACCTTGTAACTTCCAGCCCGGCTGAGCTGCAACTCCTCTGAATATATGTTAGAGATAAAATCGAGATTTGTAATTTCTCATAAAGCTTTGACACTGCTGTTGAAATGTTTTACATTCAAATAATTGGTAACCTATTAATCATCCATGTAGACATTGCTTTTTCGATAAGATCTTATAGTCTTAAAAGAATTTTTCTTTTGGCAATGAATGTCAGTTTTGTCCGTGTTAAAAAAGAACTTCGATGAATGAAGTCTATGGAACCTCTAATTGAGAGCAGAAGCTTTAAGTTCAGTCTTTAGGAAAAATTTTTTGAAGAATTTGCTTTTAAGTATTCCACCTCAAGCTAGGTCAACCTGCCAGGTAATTTTGACGTACCTCTCTGCACTCTACAACTCGATCGTAATCTTGAGCTGACCAGCACGAGCGCTTCAGTGTTCTTAGATTAGGATTGTAAAACCATGTACAAGAAGGAGCCTTCCAAGCGCGTACAAAGCTTGATCACTTCAATACTCTGATATATAATGTTTTTCGCAGCTATTGGATATGAATATGGTTTTTTTGTTCCAGGTGGACCCAGTAGACGCAGGTACCGACAACGGATTCACATTCACCGCCCCGAACTGGCCGACCGAACCGCAAGGAGAAGCGTACAAAATCACCGCCCATTACCCCGCGCACCCGGCAGGTTCCTTCTTTTACCCTTACCTGAAGAGGCTACCACCCATCGCCACCTTCCAGTTCCTTAAGGTAAGTTCATTTTATTAGTCCCATCTTGCTCCTCCCTAGCATTTCGCATCCTGAGTAGTGCCGCAGTGTAACTTATACAGGGAAAACCAAATTTATCTGACGGCTTGAATTCAATGTGTACGAGAGAAGCGCGAGAAGTGTGTGTATCAATAAATGCTAGAAGGAGATGGAAGCCAGCTGAATGGCCAAGGTCATCACCACATTGCCTACCAACGGTGGCGCAGAAGATCGTGAGGCGTTGCCAATATGTTACACCAGAAAGCGATTTAATTCATTTTAGAACCATCTTTGATATCCGCCGACGATGATAAGATCAACAAATCCTGAGTTATTGTTACATTTTGAAACAGCACTGTGGTCTGAAAATGTAACAAATGACGTTTCGGATCAGGAGGTCACTTCCCCACCAACGCTAGAAGGGTACTGATCAATATCGCTCAGCTATCACCATGGAGGTGGAAACCTTGCCTTGGAATGTACGAGATGCGGTGTTGCCAAGCGAACCAATGATGCAATGTTGCAGAATTTATGGTGAACCTGACCTTTCATTTCGACCTAAAATGCAACGCCGTTATGCCGAATCGGAATCGATACTAACAGATTCGACAAAATTCAAAAATGTGTACATTCATTATAAAACCATTATTTTGACGGGGAGAATAAACTAACGAATATTTTCAACATGCATCTCGATTCAAGGAACTGGTGTAACATATTGGAAACGCTATCTCTTTCTACAATGCACACTTCTCTCTCGTACACATTGAACTGAAGCCTTCAGATAAATTTGGTTCTCAGTGTATGTATTTTTATTGATACCGTACTACTTCCCTACGAACCTAGCGATTTACTTAATTATTCAAGGATAATGCTTGCTCCGTAAGGATGTTATGAATGTAGTTCTCAAATCCCACATATGCCTTGCCAGTTGATTTTCTATCTTCCGTTATCAGATTCCCGATCCAGATTTTTTTGGTCCTCTGTCCTCTTCGAGAACCTTAAGCCAAGCTAGCTAAATTTCGCTCTGAAGAGCTACTACCGTTTGTGGACGACAATTCCTATGATATCCCAGATATATTCAGTCCGCGAAAGATTTGAGGATCCAGGAAGTAATTCTACCAACATGGAGACGAAAACTATCTTAACGTTCAATTTAAAACTTTACATTACGTGTCCATTCATCATGCGTTCCAGGGCAGATGGAAATAAGAATGACCTCTTTACCCTATCTTCCACAAACGCTAGCAGATGTCTGGAGCCAAGTACAGCTAGTTTCGTTCTAGTAAAAGCGTTCTTACTGGGTGTTCTATTTTCTTTTTCATTGAGTATATTTTTTGACACAATTATCAGTCAGTCGTGTATTATCAAGTTCCCTGTAACACTACAGTCCCTGACGATCCATCATTGACCATTCTACCTCGCATTTCATAGCTTTGACCCCAAGACTGATCCTTGTGGAAGTACAATACTAATTTTCGTTTTCCGCATTTTGATAAGTATGTTTGATACTGGATTACTGATACTGAAATGAATTGACAAGGTATATCTCAATTGGAAAAATATTTTTACTACATATCCACACTTTATTATCAGGTGAAAGAATATGAACTGAGCGAAGTATTCCATCACGCTGAAGATGACCACAACTACGAACTGATGAGAGCTGATCAACAGAACACAATAAGTGTGATGAATGGTAACAGTGACCTGGAAACGGCAATACAGGAAGAAAGAGAAGAACAGGAGAGGCATCCTAACAAACCTAAGCCAAGACCTAGAGGGAATCTGAAAGCTTTCACAGTGTCGACACCTTATAGCACCACTACGAGGTCGAAATATATTACTGAATCTGAGAGGCTAGAAAATACGATGTAAGTATACTAGAAGATCTAGATAAAATCAAAAAAAATCAGAAAGGTTCCAAGGTTCCTAGTTTTTGAGTATGGATTTTTTTCAGAGAGTCAGAGCTTCAAAAAGTCTGAGACCTTTTTTGCCATTTTTGAAGTTTCAGATAAAATTATAGGTGACTCAAATGCTATGCAAAGCTATGTTATGACAAACAAATAAAAAATAACTCTCCCTTTTTCATCATTTTCGAGGTTCCTGATCATTTTCGTAAACAATTTGAAGACAAACTTGAGAATAGAGAGAGTTTCTTATGATCTTACATAACGGTTTCTTTCAATTTTCAGAAATAAGAGCGATGCGTCCTTATCAGTGACGTCACCAGCAATTCCTGCAGTTGTGCCACGTGGCGACAAAGACGCCATCATGAACAGTATCGCCGACTCCTACTTAGCACACAAAGAACACATCAAGCGCAAGAAATACAGAAAAAACAGGAAGCCATACCCCAAAAAAATTCGTAAGTGCAAATTATAATTATGCATGTAGGAAGACAATACCTAGCTATTTGTAACTACTGCATTTTTCAGTAGACTAAAAATACGTTTGATGGTCGAACATGCTTATCCAAAGCTCATAAATTGATGTTGCACACACTGATCTATTTGAAAGAGCTCGGTGATTTATTTATTTATTTATACCACCGTCAAATCAATTAATTTTATTGGTGGGAGAACAGAGGCTTACACAGTACATACATACAATAACGGATATATGTTGCTTTGAGTTGAGCAGACACAGTGGTATGGCGGATCAAATGGTAACACAAAAAAATAAGATATCAAAGTGTTTTAACAAAACGCCGCACAAATAAAGGTACAATAAAATGAAACAGGTACTTACTTTTTGGCCCAGGATGATCCAGTTCTACGAAAACCGATTCGCCCCGAGCGATCATGCATCATTTGCCGACGCATATCACAGGGGATGCGGTTTAAAGTATCTATCGACCTATATGGCACCTATGCTATGTGACACGTGTAAGGCGCTAGAGGGTGATCATGCGTGATACATCTGTTTTCGACGGTATTAAAAGCGAGCATTTGAAAATAATAGCCGAGGACATAACAGAACCACTCACTTACCTAATCAACAAAATGCTTTGAATGCGGCATATATCCGCCAATTTTAAAAAAGGTAATAAATACATAAATCAGGAAAAAACAGATATTAATAAATAGACCAATATCACTAATATCCAGTGTAGCAAAAGTTATTGAAATAGTTTTATCTACTAGAATGATTCGATACCTCACAGAATTCAAAATTTTAAGTGAAAATCAATATGGATTTACAGAAGGGAAAGCTACATCGGACGCAATACTTAAAATTGTAAATCAAATACATTAAAATATTGATAACAAAATTCCTTCTATCTGCATTTTTAATGATTTAAAGAAAACACAGTTAATCACAATTTATTATTAGAAACATTGAAGAGAATTCTTTTCAGAGACGCCTACTCACTGATCGAAAATTATTTGTCAAATCGCCCACAATCTATCCAGATATCAAGATCGTTTAGCAAGAAAATGTATATCAAGTGTGGTATCTCACAAGGAACTGTCTTGAGTCCACTGTTATTCAATATATATTTAAATGATATTTTCCAAATTAATTGTTTTGACAAAATAACCAGTTTTGAAAATCATACTGCAATATTATATGAAGGCACTGCACAGTATCACTCACTACCATAAATTTGTCAACACCGACCAAAAAATTAATCATAATCATTACACAAGGTACAAAATTCGTGGCACAGTAGTTCCTCAGCCGCATAAATCTATAATGCAGCGGTCATATCTCTATTTAGCGCCAAAATTTTATGAAATTACACCTAAAGATTTAAAAGATTTACATTTCGGAAATTATTTCAAATGAAATTTGAATCATTTCGGCTGATAAGGATACACCATTTTTTTGGATATACACTATATTCGTAAGCTAGCGAGCTGCCGCGTGTAAAGCCTTACAGGGTGGTCACTCCGGACAATATAACCGATTTGCAGAGGGACTTGATAAGAGTCACATTGGAGTCAAATATAACAATTGTGTCCTTTACATTATTCAGACAGTTACACATGGAATGTTAGGGAAAATGCAGAATAACGTTGATTCTGGGGGTTGGTAAACAAACCGTTAAAATGTGAGGCAACTTGGTAATAAATGACAGGTCACTGAGAATATAAGTAAGTAGAGCCTTCATGTTGTCAAAATCAGGAGCATTGCGCAACACAACAGCCTAGGCTTTTATATACAGGGTGTCCGCAAAGTTGGGGTTTTCCTTTACACGACGTGTAGATCTTGGAAACATAAGCAATATTTTTCTTAGTACCATATACACCAATGTCTTAAGGGAACCGAGATAAAGGGCTCTGCAACATCAAAAATATCTGAATACCGTCCTGTAGCCACGACTCCCGACATCCCCGAGTGGTACTAGGACACTAGCTCAACCCGACGACAGAACTGGTTCGGGGTCAGTGTGTCGGGTCAGTATGCAACCTTCAACCGAGGGTTACGGTCACGCGTGTAGAGGTAAACGAACCCGTATAATCGATTGCGTTTCAAAAAACAATAAGCACTAGAGACGTGCAAGTATCAAAAACTAAAGTGTTGCAAACGCTGCGTGAAGAGGGGCTGTATCCGTTTCACGTCCAACGTGTACAAGCCCTTCAACCTGACGATTTTCCAGCAAGAGTGCGGTTTTGTGAGTGGCTGTTGCATCAACATGACAATAATCCGGACTTTTTGAAGTGCATATTGGTGACAGACGAATCTACGTTCACGCGTAATGGGGTGAATAACTTTCGCAACACTCATGTTTGGTCAGTAGAAAATCCGCACGCTGTCCGTCGGGCACATTTTCAACAAACATTTTCGGTGAATGTATGGGCTGGCATGGTGAACGGTATGCTCATTGGACCATTTATTCTTCCTAATCGATTGGACGGGATGCAATACCTAGACTTTTTACGAAAAAATTTGGCTTCCTTGTTAGAAGATGTGCCATTAAGTGTAAGACAATCAATATGGTTTCTGTACGATGGTGCACCGCCCCATTTTAGACGCGAAGTGCGTGAGTTTTTGAATGAATTATTTCCGAATAGGTGGATCGGACGTAATGGACCCGTAGCGTGGCCTCCAGACTTAACACCATGTGATTTTTTTCTTTGAGGAGAAATGAAACTGAAGTGCATACGGTTGACGAACTTCGTCTCAGAATTGAACAATCTGGTGCTTTCATTCGGGGGAGGGACTCCATTCTCAAAGCCTGCACCCATGCTTGGCTACGTCGTGCACGCATCTGTGTTTTTGAATCAAAGGGCGATAACTTCGAACAATACCTATAAAGTACGTTTACCTAAAAACTGAAAACGCAGCAACGCCGTCATATTTGTTACCTCTGTTCGTGGTCTGCACCACCGCCGGCGTCTGCTCGGTAGCGCATCAGCTGATTTCATTTTCTGTTGGAGCGGTATGACGTACTTAGCCCTTCTCGTCAACTGGAGAGTGAGTACTTTTTCCTTTATTTTTTTTCTTGGTCGCCCTCGTTTCACTACACATTACCTTTGTTATTTCAAGGGTAGTTGTTTCTGAAAAGGAAAACCCCAACTTTGCGGACACCCTCTATTTACAGACTAGATTATTTACATACGGAACAAAGCTGAAAATATTGAAGTCTTTCATTCTAAATGGTCTCCTTGTATTTCATAGTTTTCTACTATTCCGTGTCAGCGTTCTATTTTGAGGTTATGTTACAAATATCTATTTGCATCAAATTGTTCATGCTTTTGATTTATATCATCAGTTTTATAGCCAGAAATTTCCTAAAATTCAAAAAGAAAACATAGCCTGACAATAGGACAGTGCTGACGCTGACACGGAACCGTAGAAATCTAGAAATATGCCGGCCTTTCTGAAGGGGAGGAAAGACTATGCAAATCAAGGAGGCCATAAAGGCGTCATACAATTGTAAGAACGACTGACGAAAGATTCGCGGCTTCACTTGGATTCCACCTAATAAAATGATTTCCTAAAGTCGGGTCCATGTCTCCGAAACGGAGCGATTTTTTCGAAAATCGGAGAAAGATAAAATAGTATCTGGATAATAGAAACACTCTTTGAACCTGCACGCCTTGTTTTATCCTCAGGTCCGCCTAGAGACTGCCGCGTGTCAGAATGGTCCGAATGGTCGATGTGCAGCAAATCATGTGGCATTGGAGAGATGCAAAGGCGCAGGGAAGTAGTCAAACATGCCAGGAGGGGGGGCAGAATGTGCCCCCCGTTGGTCGAGACCAAATGGTGTGGCTCTGCCAGATCATGCAACAAAGAGTATTTCAGCTGGTAGACCACCAAAGGACCTATTGGAAGTGTGAGTGAGTGTCAGTGCTTGAAGTCACGTGAAGTGTTCTGACATATTTGTGTACAGCACCAATGGATTAAGTCTGCAGTGCAACAAGCAATCAGTTCTCCTCCTTTTCTATCGCTAGGTTGCTGTTACGACAAGATCATGCCAATTTAGTGGCAATCATAGACTTCCGGTCCTAGTCGAATCTGTTCATTGTGATGATGTGTCGTATATTTCGGTACCATGGTTGAACAAACAAACCGATGTCAGAATGCAGTTTTTGTAAAATCCATACTCAGCAACTTGCACTATATGAGATTTATTTATCTTGCACATTGAATTCTATGATCAACTAGCAAAGAAGTTTACACAGATAAATATGTTCTTAATACTCGGTCACAGTAAGAATGCTGATCGAGGAGGTGTTTTTGCTTTCAAAATACTTGGGAAACTCCCAACTAAGCATACTTGTTTTTTTCGCAATTTTTCAGTGAGCAGATTCGACTCGTATGAAGAAACAATATAAGTTGTCATCAATGTTATTTTAAGATACGCGATGTTGAGGTGACACATCAAAAATATATTGACATTACCCAAATGTCCCTGCGTTTAGCTGTATAATACACACTATCATGAGTATTTCTAACGATAATAACTATTTTATAAGGAGAGACAATCGAATTTTCTAGTACTTGAGAAAATTGAAAATACTGCCTGAAAGATATTTTAGTACCATCGGTATTCATATTGTACGACAGTTTGGACAAAAATTGTTGACTTTCTGAATCGTAAATGTAGGAAGAATCTTAGACATCAATACTATAGTTTTACCACTATGAAGATGTTACAGACAGTGAATCGTGTTATAATATATTTTGTGTGTGATACATCTTACTTCAAAAGTCCAAGTAACGCTTTTCTAACAACAAAATAGGCTTCGAGAATATAATTATCTAAATAGATAATCAAAAATTATGAGGACTCAAACTTAATAAGTTTCGAATAATACGCAATGTGAAAATCTTTAGCAATCCACCAAATTTCTGTTACTGTCATAATGGCTCAAAATTTTTTAGCTTTCTCGAATTTCCATTTCCAAAACTTTGATGTTTTTGAATTTTTATATACATTATTACCTAAGAATTCGGTTAGCTATAATTGTGTTTTTCACTTATTTAATTTTGCTCCGAATTGCGTATTTATTCGTACTTTTAAGAAAAGCGTTACATTAGCAGTTAAATTTTTATCAAAACTGCTACTAAAACTTATCCCTAAACTTAAGTCTAAACTAAGTGAGTTTTGACTTCCAAATATATTTACATGACGGTTTCATCATTACGATGTAATAAAGCTCTTTGGCTTTTTCGTATGTTGAACCGAAACTTATGTTTTGTAAATATTTTAAAATAGGTACAAAATGGTAGAGTTAGCACAAATTGTCAATGAGAATTTTTATGAAACAACCATTTATATATGTAGAGCTGTTAAGGATGTTGTGTTCTGTTAATCTTAATAAAAATATTTCCGTTGCATGATGAGATATTTTTTAACATTAAAACGGTTGCAAACGTACCAGGCCGTACAAGCTAATAGAAAAAATATCAGTTAAAATAATAACAATATATACATCAAAGGACTGCTAAGTTATCTTCTACTAGAAAAGTATCTACAGGATGTCCCAGCCTAAATATATCGAAAACTGTGCAATCCAGAAACTAAATGTTCAACAAAGTTTATAGGGTTTCGAAGGAGCAACATGATGATGATGGCCTTGACAATAACATTGAACACTACTTTCAAGATCATTTCAAGGTCAATTACATATTTTCAAATAGAATCCCCTTTTTTCGCATCGAAATTGAAAAGATGAGTAAAACTCACGTCCGAATATCATCTTGACCATGACGTTGTGTATGACCTTCAAAACCACTTCAAGGTTCAATCAAGGCATCGAAAACAGTTTGCTCTATCAAAAATGCTCACACTGCAAAGCACAGTTGAGAGGCTTCTGGCGGTCATCCAAAGGTGACCTTGAACAAGACTTCAAAGTCAAGTCAAAATTTTCAAAAGAAGCGTCTCATTTTCTTAGTGGAGATGGAAGGAGCAGGACATTTGCGTCCGAATTGACCTTGACCTCAAATAACATTTACATTGAGACAACCTTGTCTTCGAGGTCTAACAGCTCACATTCGAGCGTAACATTTCATTATTTTCCCATTTCCCGTGTATAAATGAGAGGTCATGCCCATTGATAAGGGCATAATTAAAGTCATAGTCAGGGACATGGTCAAAGCCATGGTCAAGGTCATGGTCCATCAAGGTCATGGTCAAGGTTATGATCAAGACACATTTGAGTGATCCCCTACTGTGCTGTCGAACATTGTTTGTTAGAGATATTATTTTCAACGACTTGATTAAATCTCGAAATGTCAATGTCATATTGATGGTCACATTGGATGTGGAATTTGCTCCTCTTCCCGATTCCGTGCGTACTTTTAGAAATATGTAGGTGGGGAAATTAAAATGGGACATCCTGGGAAAATACGATTATAGTATAATGTTATAATGTTGCAATAAATATAAGATTATATAACTTGAACATTCTGTACTTTTGCAGCTCTTTAAGATTCATTTTGAAAAATCCATTATGCAACCTCTGTAAGTCTTCTCCTTTTCATGTGTTTACTCAAAACGAAAGGCATTCTAATAAGAAAAAACAAAAAAATCGATACTCTTACAACGTGCAAGACAAAGTATGTTTAACTGTTAGAATGTTTCAATCAGTGTCGCTCTGTGTAAACCAAAAATAACTTCTTGATATATAAGATAATTTTATATTCGCTGATGTGAGTTGTATATGTATGTATATGTAATGTACTGACATACCAGGTGATTCAAAAGAAATATATAAAATAAGGAAAAATGATTGTGTATTTCGTACTTATGTACATTTAACCATTTTTTCTTATTTATATTAAAATAATCAGTTCATTAGGGGTTGTGGTTAGTTTTGAGTCACCAAGTATTTAATCTTATTTGGTTTTCACATACATCTCCGACTAATGTGTACTATATGTAATATATTTTTTCGTTTAATTTACATCATCTTTGGCTCATGTATTCAATGAAAAATCAGTAAACGTTATATTTAGATAAACCGTATTTTCTTGTTCACTTCCTGAAACCCTATAAAACATGAATCCGCCAGTTAAGCCGGAGACAATGGCATCAAGTGGATTGACTTTAAATAAAAAAAAATACTTTGATTGCAGCAATGGACGTGTCTGTACATGGTAGCTACATTTCATTGGAATCTGGTGTAAGATTGTTTGTACGCAATGTTTTAGAATAGATTATAATAGCTCTTGATACGGTAGTTATATACGATTTAGCTATATATTCTGACGCGGCAACATATGTGGCAACGCTTGGCAACACTGCATCTCGTACATTCCAAGCAAGGTTTCCACCTCCACGATCATAGATGAGCGATTTTGGTCAGTACACGCGTACACGCAGGCAGTGATAATTTGTATTGGGTAATGGTATTTGTTACATTTCCGACCACTCTCTATGTAAATGTAAAAATAACTAAGGACGTGTTGATTTTGTCACTATCAGTGGAAATCAAAGATAATTCTGAAACAAATTACAACTATAAGACGCATCAAAATTGAACTAAATAATTCTAATCAAAACGAAAACAAAATATTAAATTAAATATTACAGACCTCCTTCTTGGGTTTGAAAGTAACCTATTATAGAAGCCTCTGCGAACATTTGCTGGTGTAACAACGCGGCAGATATACACGACCTTTAGCATAATCGTTGCTAGGCAAATTGGTGAAGACCTTCGCTCTTCAGCCGGCCGCTATCTATTTCTAACATGTGCCGCTACACACTTTTCGTTCCTCTCTCGTAAACATTGAACTCAAGCCGTCAGACAAATTCTGTTTTCCTTGTATCTACATATAAATGATTTCGCATACACCTCGTATGTCGCCGCGCCACCTGCTGCCTGCTTTTATAAGTCACTCGAACCGACTACCAACGATGCAGTATTTATAACCCCGTATCGTACATGTGTGACCGATGAAATATGTCTAAAAGGAGGGCTACCGGGTTTGGAAGTGTATTAACATAAAGAAATTGAGATATACCCTCCCCCACCCCATACAACCCTCATCACCCAATTCTTAACTATTAAAATATTTTTTTTGCTGCAAATTGTCTGGAGTTTTTGAAACGTCGAAAGCAGTTTGAGCTGTTTTTAGTTCTTTCGTTTTATACCCTTCACTCTGCAGCCGCTGGTCCAATTTCCAAAAACTGCAAGGCTTTCTCGTCCTTTGGAGAGTACTTACCTTGTGTGAAAACTTCATTAAATCTCGATCAGTACTTTTCAAGCTATAGAGGGACTACGGGTATCGGACACACCGACAGACAGACAGACTGACGGGTCTGATTTAAAATAAGCATTAGAGAGGCACCGATGGGAGATTGAAGATCCTTGTGCCATATAAGAGAAACCCTTCCTAAATTAATATTTTTGTTCTGCTACTGTATGGCGATAGGATCTTCGAATCACTGACCGTAGCCGTGTGATATCACCTTTCTAGAATGAGCACAGAATACAGTTGTAACTGAAACCAGTCCTTGCGGAACACCCGTTTTGAAACCTGAAGCAGATATCTGCTATAGCTTTTTCGCTTATTCGTTAATTCTGATGCACCCCGTTTCTTTTTCCCATTAGCCGCAGTCTTCTGTCGAACATCGTGACGTGATACGTTACATGCCAGTTTACTCTGCCTGTGCTTTCCCCCCAGAGTGGATAACCATGTCTTCCGAGGATACTGTTATGTTACGATAAAAATAGGAATGAGAAGTAACGAAATATTTTTGCAGGATGTGTATCCCGGGTCACGTCAGCTAGGCTTACTGTCCTTTAATGTTTCATTTCAGGGGACAGTGAACTTCTTTTAGGCCTGGATTTCAATCGCTGGATAACTTCCAAGTTTACCGGCTATAACTAGAAAGTTAACTAGAGTTGTAGAGGCTTCCTTCGAGACAGGCTAACCATCCCGTAATTATTGTTGATCTGGCTACGCTGCTACTTCATCTGAATTATGGTGTTTTGTGTGTCTTGTAGCGCTCGATGTTTGTGTCTCATTTAGTTCATGACAACTCATGACATTGTCAAGTAAAAGATGTTGGGTACTACGGTTTATCTACATCCACGAAGACTAAAGTGTATCTAACGAAGCTACAAAGTAATCGTAAACAGTGGTTGATTCGTGATCAACGCGTGATCGGTAGCCATGGCGCTCTGTCGGCCTCTTCCTGATTGGCTTGTAGCGACGAGCCTCCAGACAAAGTCGCACGGTTGCCACGCTCGGCGAGTTTTCGCCAGAGTGGTTGATCACATTCGCATGGATCACAAATCAATCTGTTGGTGCAATACGTGCAATAACTGTTGTAAAGGACATTATATAACAATAAATGGCATCACAAAGGTATATTCCAATTTGATCTGCAGCAAATTATGTACGGCATATACGGAGATGCGAAAACAAGCTCAAAAAGGTGAAGAAAATTTTTGTGCAATCTTTATAGTTAAATTTTTCCTAAGAGATAGCATCAGTGAGGGATTTTTTTTCTATTGTCTTATTTTTCACATTAATGCGATGTCGAGGTATGTGGCCCTATCGCTATTGAAAATAAGGTTTCGATAATCCTTCCATAAAGTTTCGATGAGTACATCTGAAATAACCTTGAGATATTCTTCAGGGAAATACAAAAATCTCCTTTTGTGTTTTTTTGTGCAGATTTATCCATTAAAATCCTATCCGCAATCTATTTTCCGTGCACACACCTTCAACCGAATGTATGCCATATATGATATTACCGTTTCCAACTTTCACCAAGGTTAATAGGAACCATAACAGCTCCCTACCCTTCCCCCCTATAAGAATATCGATTTGTAGCCTCACATTTCAAGGTTAGACTTCTTGTAATGTTTCTGTTCAACATTCGGCGATTTCTGACAATTTTCCCAATAAAACATGATCATTGTGACATTAAGCCTGGCAACGCTGCATAGTAGAGGGAACTCTTAGCGTCACGTTGATGGTTCGTCACCACGCACAGGATTGTAATCAGTTACGGATACCCGTTTATGAGCGCGAACGTTTTCTGCACGTCTTGACTTGATTTTTCTTGCGGAAATTTAATATTAGTCTAAAATGTCTGACACAGATACAGCTGATGAAGTGGTTGAAATCAGCTTAACGCCACCCAGCAAAAGGGCTAAAAAGCTTCATCTTAGCGCAGGTGAAAAACAAATTATTCTAAATATCTACAAGAACCAGATGCAAGAGAATAGTGGATTGGCTATAGAAAATATCGTATGTAAGGTTGCTGAAATTTCTGGAGTAGGTCGATCAAGTGTTTACAAAATCTTGAAGGAATATAGACAAAATCACTCACTATCTGAGCCAAAAACATATCCAGCGAGAAAAAAAATCATCGAAAAAATAGATGACTTTGATAAAAGTGCCATTAGAAGAAAAGTACATCACTTTTTCTTCAGGAATGAAATACCTACAATAGATAAAATATTGAAGCAAGTGAATGATGATGAGGACCTGCCAAATTTTAAAAGATCTACGTTCCATAAGCTGTTGAAAGAACTAGACTTTCGATTTTTGAAAAGAGGAAGGAATAGTTTATTGATAGAAAAGGAGGAAATTGTTATCTGGAGGAGAGAATACCTTAGAAAAATTAGGCAATTCCGCGCTGAAGGAAGAAAAATTTATTATTTAGACGAAACATGGGTGAACGCGGGGCATACGCAGGGAAAGGTTTGGGTAGACAGATCTGTGAGGTCCTCAAGGCAGGCTTTTTTAGATGGCCTTTCGACGGGATTGAAAAATCCTGCAGGTAAGTTTCGAAGTATATGAACTTTTTTGGATGCAGATAATTCATTTTCTGATCGAATCAATGATTTGGAAGCTCCGAACTCAGTTTTGCTATCTCATCCAAGTTTCTGAGTATTTCCTTCACCCAAAAACTAATCTAAGACCCTATCCTACACTAACCTAAAAAGAGTAAGTTGCTTAATTTCGTCATTTAGTGCGCTCGCTGAGAAGTAAAATAACTAATTACTTTCAGGCAAGGGAAAACGCCTGATCATTTGCCACATAGGTAGCGTAGATGTATTTGTTCCTGAAGCATTGTGGGCATTTGAATCCAAAAAAACTGGAGACTATCACGAAGAAATGGATGGTAACTCATTTGAAAATTGGTTCAAAAAAATTTAGCCGACACTTGATGATAACGCAATTATTGTGATGGATAATGCCCCGTACCACTCCAGAAAATTGGAAAAAATTCCAACAATGGCCACCAAAAAGGCAGACATTCAACAGTGGCTTGTCTCAAAGAAGATCGACTTCGACCAAACAATGGTCAAAGCTGAGCTGATAAATATAGTCAAGCGACATAAGTATAAATATGATTTAAAAATTGTTGACGAAATGGCCAAAAACCAAAATAAAACGATTCTCAGGCTGCCTCCCTATCACTGCGAACTGAATCCTATCGAGTTGATTTGGGCCGACATCAAGCAATAACAGCACTTTTAAGTTTTCTGACCTTAAAAAACTGTTTGATGTTGCTGTCGATAGAATTATGCCAGCAAAATGGAGAACATGTATTGACCATGTCCAAGAGAAGGTTGAAACCAAAATGTGGGATATGGACAATATCAGTTGAACCCCTTATAATTGACATCAACAATTCTGATGATTCAAGCTCCTCGGAATACAGCATATAAATCGATTGATACCATTAAGACTGGCAGTTTAACGGGCTTTTTGGCAAGACAGGTAAGTTCATTATAGACTGCAATCAAAGTGTAAGTTTCTAGTTATTAATGTGGAAATTCCAAATTTATAATTACACAAAATTAGGGTTAATTTAGGAGGTCCAAAGCATAATAGTGCCATTTTGACCTTCTTCCTATTTCTCATGTAAATTTTAATAGCAATCAAACTATCAAACTTTATGGAGTTTGTAATAAACTTTTGTACTACTACTACTACGTCTGCAGTTTCTATTTGCTCAAAAAAATTTGCTCTGCATTGT